AATGTCCATGGATTATTTTGTAAGGGAATGGGAGTGCCTTCTGCCCTCTGGATTCTTACAGGCTAGAATGTGAGCATTATTTGTGGGGTTTCAATGGTTCTTGTAGATGTTGCCAACAATGATGGAATTCATGCATAGCTGAACAAATGCACAGAAGAAGCTTGGCTCTCTGTGTTAGTTTTCCAGTAATGTAACAAATAACCTGAGATAATTGACCTACAAAGAAAAAAGTTTCATTTTAGTTCAGAGCTTCAGAAGTTTCAGTCTTTAATCACTTGGTCTTGTTCCTTTGGGTTTGTGGACACATCATGAAGGGATCATGATGTGGAGAAAAACCACTCATAATGGCTGGTAAATGGAAGAGAGCAAGAGTATGGGCTGGGATTCCACAAGCCCATTTGAGGGTTTGCACCCATCACCTTCCACTAGGTCCCACCTCTTAAAGTTCCAATGCTTCCTCATAATGCCAAGCTGGGGACCAAGCCTTTAACATGGACCTTTGGGGGACATTACAGACACTGTGGTAATTCCTGACTCATTGAGCACCCTACCAACCCTCAGCCACTACCGCTAGACATTTTAAACATCAGAGAGGAACCTGCTTCTGCTTAACTCAAGCTCTTGTTATGTTGATGTCCTCAGTTATCCCAGAAGAACTTAATCCTCACTAACAGAGTGAGCAAGCCATGATGCAGAGAGGCTGGTCAGGAGACGATTGCAGCAACAGGGAACAGATGTCCAGAGCCTGAGCTCACGCCATAGCAGTGGAACCGGAGAGAAGAATAGGCTTGTCAGGCTGCGAGGTACAGGAGATGGGACTTGACCACTAATTGAATAGGAAAGTGAGAGACAGAAGTAAAATTAGAACATGACACCTGAATTTCTGGCATGGATGGTCTAGGGGAGCAAGAGACATGGTCCAGAGTCCCCAGAGGAATCCAAGAGTCAAGACTTGCAGAATATCAACAAATTGAAGAGGGAACCATAACAGAGGCCAAGAACCAGAGGGTTCACTGGGACTGAGAGCTGAGTGATTGATAATGTCAGTTGTGGGAAACCAAATACGAGGAGGAATTCTTGATAAAAATACTCACGACATGGAAACTGGATGTCTTAGGACCAAGGTGAGGTGAAGATATGGACAAATGATTCTCAGCTCCATTTTAAATGCTATTACTAATGGAGAGGAGAGAGAGCTGTTGTCGTGGTAGGATAGAGCCCAATGGCTGGTGTACTAGTTATAGGTTTGGTTTCCAATATGGTAGGAAGGTTAGGAGGAAAAAAGAAGAATCTTGACAAGAGGCCTTCTTCAATGTCCAGTTGTGGTTTGTTCACTGAAAGCAAAGGGAAATCGTTTGGCAGATGGGAAGGGAAGTGTGCCTGGGATTCTTCCATGACAGGTCACTAGTCTGGAAATGTTGAAGGTGTCTCGACTGGCATATACTCTCTGCACAGAATGTCTCTGTATGGGATAACTTGTCTCACATGTTTTGGTTTAGTGGTCCAAAGTTTCTCAAGTGCTGACTTCCAGAGGTTGGAATTAGTTTTTTTCAAGTATCTCTAATTCACTCTGCCAAATGGCAGATAAACTCTTGGGCCTGAATTCATAATCTCTTAATCAAAAATTTCCTGTTCTCATACTCTTATTTTCCTGTTCTCATACTCTTACAATGAATGGAATATGTCTTTTCTTATTCTCCTATTCTTTTTTAAAATATTTTTTTAATTATAGTTGTACAGAATACTTTTTATTTTATTTATTTGTTTTTATGTGATGCTGAGAATAGAACCCAGGGCCTCGCATGTGTTAGGTGAGTGCTCTACCACTGAGCCACAACCCCAGCCCCACCTCCCCCCACCTTAATCAATTCAATCATAAACCCCAAGTTGAGTAGCACCAAGAGATATTACAAGACTATCTTCCACAAGAAGCTCCGTAAAGGAATGATCATAGAAATACCAGGCCCTTCTGGTCTAGCCTCTTAATAAAAGGTTGCGATCAGGTGCAGTGGTACATGCCTGTAATCCCAATGGCTCAGGAGGCTGAGGCAGAAGGACAGCAAGTTCAAGGCCAGCCTTAGCAATTTAGTGAGGCCCTAAGCAACTTTGTAAGACACTGTCTCAAAATCAAAAATAACAAAGGGCTGGGGTTGTGGCTCAGGGGTAAAGTGTCCCTGGATTCAATCCCTAGTACCAGTAAGTAAGTAAGTAAGTTAGTAAGTAAGTAAGTAAGTAAAAGAAAGAAAGAAAGAAAGAGAGAAATGGCTAGGTTATTCTTTTTTTGAGGGACATTTTTGATTATTCTCTCAATCAGACTATCCCCTTCACCGGAATGTGAGGCCCCCTCTTCTTTTCCAGATGAAAGCTTTGTCTGTATATTTGTGCTCACTTGACTTGGTGGCATTCGTTTTTATTGATAACAGTAAACATTCTCTTTTTGATAACAGCATTTTATTGATAACAGCATTCATTCTTTTGTTTGATACAGAGTCAAAAGTTTCCGTTTCCAGTAACAGTTCCGTTGATGAACTGTGACCATCTCAGAATGAGGAATGTCAAGGTCATGTATGGTCTGGCTTTTCTCTTCTATCTTGATACCCGTTATGGATTGAATGTTTGTGTCACCAGAAATTCATACATTGAAACCCTAACTGCCAATTGTGATGGCATTAAGAGGTGATCACAACTAAATGAGGTGGGGCTCTCATCATGGAATTAGTGTTCTTAGAGAGAGGAGAAGCTCTCTCTTTTTTCATGCCCTCGGAGGATAGGCCACGTGAGGACACCGGGAGGAGCCAGCTGTCTCTAAGCCTGGAAGGGAAGGGAACCCACACGAGAAAATCAATCAATGGTCATCCTGATCTTGGACTTTTAGCTTCCAGACCATCAAAAATAAATTTTCTGTCATTTAAGTCACCCAGTCTATGGTATTTTAATAGCAGCTTGAGCTAAGATAGCATGATAATGTAAAACCACTCTTCAAACAAACAAACAAAACCATACAAAAATCCCCAAACCAAAAAAGCAAACATGGTCACACATTTTTACCCAAACTCCTTCTTAGTTTTTGAGCAGCATAGTGAGGCCAGGATCCTGGCTGATGTACCCTAAGAGGGCAGTGTGCCCTGGTCCCGCCGAGCCCCATCCCTTCAAACTTACTTCGGTGCTGGGCTCTTGATCATGGCTTTATTAGAACTACATTTCAGCTGGAAGTGGGTATAAAACACATGTGAGAGCATCCACTCTCCAGGGCCATTAAATCACCTTGTTATTTATTATCCTCTAGAATCCTCTAATTTACATGTGGTCTCTTCTCATAGGATAGCCTCAAGTGAATCTGAATTTGTTTAGACAATTTTATGGGTATTGTTAAACCACAATTGAATTTCAGGCCTTTATAGCAGCCCAGCCAAGATGCACTCCAATTAGAAATAATTGCTGCTAATGCTGTTATGATGCGGTGGATGCCCACTCTGTCCCCCAGACCTTTGTTCTGCTAAATCCCCTAAGAGCCTCTTCTTTATTCTTCAACTAAATTGACAGGCCCCCAGAATATACGCTCTTGGAATTGTAATATAGGAGCAATATTGTGCTTCCCTCTTAATTAACCTTGTTAACCAAGGATTTGGAACATCAGTTGGTTAGTCTAAGAGGGTCTTTGATCCTCTCAGTACACATCTTAGTTGGGTCGGGCGCCTCTCTATGAAATGAAATGCCTTGTGTTCCTTACTTACTCACACACTATACCAAATACCTTATTCATTTTTTGAGTCATGATGTGATATTCTTATTTAATGAAATGTTTATAAAGTGATTAGCTTGGCACCGAGCACAATAAATATGAATGTTCGTCATTATTATCATAAGGCAGTTCTTGAAGGCTGAGTGGGAAGGAAACGGAGGAAGACAGTATTCAGTATCGTGCAGGCGGCTCAAGATGAATCAGTCCACATGTATACTAAACCCCGTACTGCCTTAGCCCATTGCTCCTCCAAGAGTAACATCTTACCCTTAAGAAATTCAAATTCTCTCTCTTTTTTTCCTCTTCTAGGGTCTTCCACGAGGTATCTCACATCCCTTCCTGCTTCCCAAGAGAGCAGGGACAAAAAGGCTACTGTTTCTTGCACTAGGCAGGTGTCCCCAACCAGCCTGGGAAGGAGTTCCAGGGTTGTGGTAATTAACATATTTTTCTTAATCTTGCTTTTAGAGTTAATCTCCAAAGCATGAAAGCAATTTGCCAGTTGATTAAACTGTAAGAACACAATAGCTTCAAGGTGAGGGCAGCGCTGGTGAATTGAAAGGCATAAAATTGCTCATTCTGGGGAAAAAAAAATACCTTACTGTGAATCCCAACTTGAACAAAGTTAAACACTTTCAATGAATCATAAGAATATTTGGGGGATAAATGAGCCATAAATCTAATTCTGTAGAATTTCAATTTCTGAGCAAGTTGCAATCAGTCTTTGTTCTCTTCTAGGGAATAAAATGAGAGCCCATTTGAGAGTCGGGTCTAGGAACCTTCAGGAAAAGGGACTGGTAAGTTTCCCTGGCTCTGGCTGAACCTTCAGCTGGACAACCCAGTATCCAGGGCATCAAGAAGCAAGCATCTATGAAGCTGCGTTGGAAAGAAAGCACAGGGGATCGGCATTTTCTACATTAGGTGATCTGGGTTCCAAATGGCCAACGCTGAGAGAAGATTCTAGGAAATCCAGACCTCTGTGTCCTCTGGAAGGAGGGCATTCCAGCTACTTGCTGTGTGCTCTCCCCAGCACCTCACTGCCCAGATAGGCTCAAACACAGCCACCTGCTCCATAGGAGACACCTCCCTGGTGACCGAATCTTAGGGGAGATCAGAGGAGCTTTTCTCTCTCACACATCTGTTGTAACTGTGAAATGACAAAAATGGACTGCTTTTATTTTTTAAAACAAACAACCAAACTCAACAAAAAGAAGACAGCAATGTTTTTTTTTTTTTCAAAGACATGGGTTGAAAATTCTAGTCCAGATAGCAGAAATAGGAATGGTACTTGTTTCCAGATACGTTCTATTGTTGAACAAAATCATTTTTCTTATTCAAAACGAACTCGATGTCGCATTGGGTATCCGATGAAATCAGCCATGGAGTTGGTCTTTAGACTTTCTTCTTTTGGCCAGTGAAACCTTCCATTGACTCTAAGACACCCAAGTATTCACCTATGATCAGTCCTGTCTTGGTGGGCAAGAAACTAAAAAAAAAATAATAAAAATAAAAAAATAAAAAGTAAAATAAAAAAGAGAGAACCAAAAGAATAAACCTTCTTGGTTACCATTCATGAAAGCATCTTTGCTCAGCTGAAAACTATCATTGTTTCTTGCAGATGTAGTTAARGCTAACAACCTTATTATTATATAGGGGACACTTGCTCAGGGGGTCTTTATTAGCTTTCCTGGCTTTACTTACCTTGTTCAATTCACTTCTCCTTTCATTTCTGCAGCATCACTAACCTACATAATACTGAGTGGAAGCAGAGAAGTCTTGGGCTTGTAGGCATGGACTTTGGAGGTAGAGGCATCTGGCTGGACTTCTAGCTCTGTCATTTGCAATACCAGCCCAAGCAACTTACTTAGCTTACAGGCCTCAGTTTCCTCAAAGGCATCCATCTTTCCTTCTTGGACTACCATGAGGACAAGATGCAACAGGTCCTCACACCTTTGGCAAGACCAGACTAACATGGTTCATCTCCTCTATCCCCACTTGCCCCACAGACGCCCATGAGCATCACTCGGATACAGCACTGTTGACCTTGACCTTCAACACTGCAGAGTGAGGAAATGTCAAGGCAGGTCCAGTACACGGAGACCTGTCCTAGAGAAGAGTAAAGAAAAGGACTCTGCATTTGCTGTCCCCTGTGGGGGCTCCCCAAGATCTCCAGGTGGTTCACGTCCCCCCCAACTTCAGGGCTCTGGACAAGCACTAATTTCTTGGGGAGTCCTCCCCTAGCACTTCACTTAAGTCTTAACTGGCTCCCCTCTACCTCCTGCTCTGAGATTCCTTTTTCTGGCTTTGTATTTCTTCAGAGCACTTATGGTGATCAGCATACCTTTTCTTTTCCTTTACTTTTTTTTGTGTGATTCTTTCCCACCATCCACTCCTAAGAAGGCAATTTCCATGATGATAGTTCTTTGCTGTAACATCAGGTCCTGGGGTAGTGAGTGGTAAATGGCACACACACACACAGCTCTCTAAATGTTTGCTGAATGAATGTTTGAAGAAGTGTTTCACGTGATCCTCTTCCCTGAGCCTCTTCATGTTTCCTCTGTCCTTCTCGGGAACTGTCTAGCCCTCTTTTCATAGATGACTCTGAACTTATGGACACTAAATGCAAGTACAACTTCCACAGTTATTCAGAGTAGAAAAATTAAGTCCCATATTCTTAGAGCTTGCCTTTGCTAGTAGGCAAGAAGTATTCACTGTGTGAATACATGCACTACCTGATCACTAAGTGCATTACACTCATCTATATCTACAGCTCTGACAAACACTGTAAATGAAGAAACTGAGGCCTGTGGAATCTGGGGCATGCTAGGAATCACAGACTTGGTAAACAGCAGGATAATAACCCTGGATTTCAAACTGCTTGTCAGAGACCCTTCACCCTGCCTCAGACATCTTCCCATCAGCCATATTGATCCCTCCTGTGCTAGGTGAAGCCTGGAAAAGGATAGGAGTCTTTCAAAAGAGAAAGACTTTTGGTTCATTGCACAAAGTATAAGGCCCCAAAGTCAAGGTCAGGCACTAATCCAAATACCTCAGAAATTTATGGTATGGATAAAATAGACAATAGATAATAAATATAATGATATAAATAATAAAATCTAATTATATAAACCCTCATTTGATAATGAGAAAATAAATTTCCTTATGCAGGAAGGGCAATGGCTGCTAGCCAAGTGGTGAACACAAAGCATTGTATCTAAATGTGAGTAAGCCTGGGCACAAAATCTATTCCAGCATGATGGGAACAAGAAAAAGCATCTCTCCCAAACACCCACTTTTGATCTGCTCCCAGTTAATTCAGGAAATCCACTGCTTATAATAATGCAATATACTAAGGTAGCAGGGAGGGTGCAGCACTTTCTTCTTGACTCATGGGAGGAATAGCAGCTATGGAAATTTTGGATTGTATCAACAAATGGGGTCCAAAGATGGGATCAACAGGACATAGATTTTTCCCTTTTAAAATTTACCAATTTTTTTAAAAAAATGGCTCCTCCTGGTAGGATTTGGATTCAACTATTGATTGGCATGTTAGGGAAGTAATAGAAAAACTGATACTGATACCTTTTTAAAAACAACATGAGGTATAAGAACTTTGGAATAAACAAATACAGCCTTTCCTGAAGAATAGCATCTACTATTTTTCTGACTGTATATTCTGGATCCAGAATTGGCAACAGAAGAGGACACCTAGAGTATAAACAAACAAACAAAACAAACAAACAAAACCCCAATTAACAAATTAATAAAAACAATTCTTTCAAAATAGGAATAAGAAAGTTGTAAGACATTATCACTTATTTTGTTTCCTTTCAGATTTCCTCTGTTTCTGTATTTATTCTCTTATGATCAACATGGTGATTTAAAACACACCTAGAATATAACATTAAAAAAATGACGAACCTGATGAAGACACTAATGTCACAATAACACTGATATGAAACCATATCAAACGAATGTTGTAAAACAAGTCACTGGGAACAAACTGCCTGCTGTCTCCATGACATATAGAACTGGGCATTTGCCCCAAATTGACAAGTCAAAGCCTGGGTCTTTGTAATTAGGTCATAAGGATAGAGTCCTCATGAATGGGTTTAGTGCTTGTTATGGTTTAGATATGAGATGTCCCCAAGAGTTCATATGTGAGACAATCCAAGGATACTCAGAGGTGAAATGATTGGGTTATGAAAGCCTTAACCTAATTATTGCATTCATTTACTTGAATGAATTAACTGGATGGTGACTGTGGGCAGGAAGGGTGTGGCTGGAGGAGATGAGTACTAGGGGTGTGCCTTTGGGGTTATACTGTGTCCCTAATGAGCTTATCTTAGTCTCTCTCTGCTTCCTGGTAGTCACATTCTGAGCTGCTTTCCTCTGCCTCACACCAGGCAGACAGCAATGGAGTCAGCTGTCTAAGGCCTGAGACCTCTGAAACTGTGAGGTAATAAACTTTTCCTCCTCTGAAATTGTTCTTGTCAGGTCTTTTGGTCACAGCTGTAAAAAAAAAAAAAAAGCTGATGAAAACAGTGCCCTTATGAGAAGAGCCATCATAAAGATGATCTCTCTTTCTGTGTGTGTGTGTGTGTGTGTGTGTGTGTGTGTCTCCCCCTCCTTCCTCCAAATTATGGTATAGCAAGAAGAAAGCTGCCATATGCAAACTTTCACCAGATACTGGATCTTGGACTTCTAGCCCTGATGTGAGAAATAAATTTCTGTTGTTTAAGTCACATGGTGTATTCTGTTATAGCAGCCCAAACTAACTAGAGTTTCCTTCAGTGAGTTCTAGTCCTCCTGGAATCAGGAAAGAGGGTTGAATTGGGGACGGTGGAAAGGACAGTCTGGAAGTTAAATAAGCAGATCTGGGGCCAAAGATGGCTACTACAACGACTAGTAGCCTTCATAAAGCATCTGCATTTGATTCAGTATGTTAACACAAACACACGTGAAGACAGAATTCTGAAACTACTTATACAATCAGGCTGAATGATAGAAAGACACCTTCTGAACAACTTTAAAAAAACAGATAAAACAGAATCAAATAGATAGCAATCATTTTTAATGATGTTGTTTCCTTGAAATCAAAAGGCATACTTACCTAGTCGTACAACCTTCAAACATTCCAGTTTTTATAAAAAATGGGCACACAATGGTAGTCTTAATCCCCTTTTGTTTTAGGGCAAATGTTTCTACAAACATAGATTCTGCAAAACCAACGGCTGCAAATTTACTCGCACAATAATCTGAAAGAGACAAACAATACTTACGGATATAGGTGTTATGGCTATATAACTTTTGGGTGTCCCCCAAAAGTTCATGTGTCAGACGATGCAAGAAAGTCCAGGGTGTAGTGATTGGATTATGAGAACCTAAACTTAACTGATGCATTAATTCACTGACAGGAATTAACTGAGTGGTAATTGAAAGCAGGTAGGGAGTGGCTGGAAGAGGAAGGTCACTGCGGGTGTATGCCTCTGGGGTATATATTTTGTCCCCGATGAGCACAGCTCTCTCCCTTCTTCTATTTTTTCCTCCCTGCTTCTTGAATGCCACATTCTGAGTTGCTTTCTTCCTCCAGACCTTTCTGCCATGATGTTCTGCCTCACCTTAGGCCAGGAGCAATAGAGTTGGCCATCTATGGACTGAGACCTTTGAAACCATGAGCCCCAGATAAATATGTACTTCTATAAAATTGTTCTTGTCAGGTCTTTTGGTCACAGCAGGGAAAAAGCAGACTTTGTTTTATTGTGTTTTGCTTCATTGTGCTTCACAGATATTATCTTATAAACTGAAGGTTTACAGCAAGTTTGCATTAAGTCTATTGGTGTCATTTTTCCAACAGCTCAGATGATCATATTTTTAGCAGTACAGGTTTTTTTGTTTTGTTTTTGGTACTGCAGTTTGAACCCAGGGGTGCTTCACCACTGAGCTGCACACCAGCTCCCCCCCCCACCCTTTTTGCTTTTTTGAGATAGGGTCTTATTAAGTTGCTGAGGCTAGACTTGAACTTGTGATCCTCCCGCCTTGACCTCCTAAATCGCTGAGATTACATGTGTGCACCACTATACCCAGCAGCAGTGGGACATTTTTAAGTTAAGGTTAAAAACATAATGCGTGGGGTTGGGGTTGTGGCTCAGAGGTAGAGCGTTTGCCTAGCATGGGTGAGGCCCTGGGTTTGATTCCCCAACACCAATTAAAAATAAAATAAAGACATTTAAAAAAAAAGAGTACGTAATATGTGATTTTTTTTAAAAAAATAATGCTACTGCACACTTAATATTTTAAGTATAGTGTAATCTAACTTTCATCTGCACTGAGAAATTAAAAAAAAAAAACAACCCATGTGACTCACCTTATTGAAGTAGCCTGGAACAAAACCTGCAATATCTCTGAGATATTCTTGTATTCCATAGTTTTTAAATGGAATTACATTAAGGTTGACTCATAACACTAATAGCAGCAGAAAATGTGACAACAATTTTCAGAGTTCTTCTGATCTGGGCCTAGCTCCATTGGAAGGATGAAGAGTGAGTAGGAAGAAATGGGGTCAACAGAACGTCAGATGAGAATGACCAACTCCAAGATGAGAATGACCAACTCCAAGATAGGAAGGGCTGCAGGGGTGCTCCTAGAGGCCACACTGCTAGACTAACTTACAAGTTAATGACTGTCTGATCCTGTGTTAGCTGTTACATGGGGCACCATATGTGCATCCTGAACCTATCTCAAAAAACTTCAGGTCCATTGGGACATAAAGACATCCCCCAAAGGAAATAAACCTTCCTACGTGACTTCCTAGTCGTGTGGGAAGCAAGAGGGGTCAGTAAGGGCTGTGATAATCAGACCAAATTTTCTTTCAACTACGATTTCCTTATTATCATTGTGATGAGTAATAACCAAACTAGAATTGGAAATGGAAAATGACAATTCTCATTATTATACACACAAATATACACATACATAAATCACATTAAACAAACATTCTAAATGTTTAAAATAAACTGATGAAAACAAACTGCTCGCTGCCTCCATGAYAGGCAGAATGTAACTTCCAATTATAACTACTTCTTCCACCTCCAGAAAAGAAACRAAAGGACTTCCTAGCTTCAACTGCCATCTTTTAAAGACCTTGAAAATGCAGGGGGAAGTGGAGAATGGAACTAACAGAGGTTTTGAGCATTCTGTCTWTAATCATCTTTGCTTCCAGAAAATACTTGGATATTCAATTTGCTGAGTGAAAAAGATTTGGAGAAATAAAATTGAGGTGGATGAATACTTTCCTTTGCTTCACGGTCAAAAGGAGAGTACTTACTCGCTATGTTTTGATGCGGCTGTTACAACTGACAAGAGCCAGGTAAAGGTGCCAGGTATGGGACTGYCAGGCCTCAGGGGTGCATAGACAGAGGTAAGAGGCTAGAGGGAGGAAAGGGGACAGGAGGGTCTGGAGCAGCTTCTAGGATGATCTCAGACATCTGGTGTAAATGCAGCTCTTTGAGCCCTTAATTCCTGAAATTCTGGTAAGCAGAAAGATCAGAGGACACACAGCATCTGCATTTTCAACTAGTTCCCTGGGSAGGGTGGCTGTAACACAGCCGACCAAGACTCACTCTGTGGGAAATACACACCATGGGAAACAAGTCTTACACTTAATTTCTCAGGTGTGCTGGGGGTGGACAAGTCTCATCTTTGAAGACAGAGACATTGTGTCAGAAAAAGGATTAACAGCAGTTGTAAATATTCCTGAGTGATTTCAAAAGCCTGTGATTTATAAGACATGTAATAGAGAGGTATTAATAACCTGTGATGAATTCTCAAAAGGACAGAAGGAAGTCCAGGGTCCAGGGAGTACAAAGTGGTAATATTCTGAGTGGATGGGTGGTTCTGGAAACCCTATTCATGTCACTGAAATGCACTGAACTAACATGAATTTGTGAACCTTGAGCCTTGACACTTGGCTCAAGTGGTTCAGAAGTGCCTGATCACCAAACGATCTCGTTTGTTATCTGAGTGTTGCTGCTACGGTTCTATTACATGAGTTTCAGTTGACGTGTGCAAGCCAGGACCCAGGACAGTTGCTCCAGGGGACTGCTGGTAGGGTGAGGTCAAGATTTCTGCTCCTCCTAGTGTCAGTTCCTGAATTGGGTCTCTTTGGCCAAAGATCTTAGTTTATTCCTTTGTCCCCTGTCCACAGTGTGATGAAAATGACTATTATGTCCTTTGAGAGAAGGCAGGTAGTCTTCCTTCCTGGCCTGCTGACAGTGCCAGGTGAATTTAATTGCTTGGGCACAACTGTACTGCTSGGTCTCTGTCTTTTAAATTCTGGGGGTTGCATAAGACCTAATGATTCCAAAGGGCATAGTCCAACTTTATCTGATGGGCAGTTCTCAACCACTTCTCTTGTTCCCTAAGATTCATTATACTTTATTATTAGGGTTATACAGTCAATGCTGGTTATTAAGAACTACCATGTAAGTTAGGGTTATAAAGAATTTTGCAATTATGAAATATATTTCTCTTACCTGCCAGCCCATTTACTCCAACTAATCCAGCTGAACTTGAAATGCAAACTAAATGTCCATGGTCATTAGCAATCATAGCAGGTAGAAAGGCTTTATAAGTCTAAGAAGAGCAAAGGAAAACTATTAACACTTAATACCACATTGTATACTTTCCTCAGATATTTTATGATACTTATGATTAAAAATGATTTTAGTTCATAAAAATACCCAAAGGCACGGGAATATAAAAATTACAACACCTGGAAAGTTAATTATTTTAACCTGATTGACATGTTAAATCAATATTTTACTAAGGCAATTCCACCATTATGAAAATTCATGCTTATTTTTGTGTTTGCATTTGAGCTTTAACAACACAATATAAAACAACAATTGAAACAGTATAGGAAAATTAGCTGTGGCAGCTGCAAACTAAAAACCAAGGAGTACTTAAATGATAGGATTGTTAAGTTGTATACTGCTTTTTTTCCTTGTTGGCTTATTTAAAATTTCAATTTTTTTTCTAACCATTATAAGATAGCCYGCTGTTGACAACCACTGAAAAAGAGCATTTTGTTTTAAACTGAAACTCACCTCTACTTCTTTCATTTTTATTCCAATTCATAAATAGACTATTTGTTAGAACTTATGTTGTTATGTCTTAGTCATGTAGAATACTTTTACCTTCTGCTTCTTTTTTCTTGTGGTACTGAGGATGGAACCCAGGGTTACTCCACCACTGAGCTACACCCCCAACACTTTTAGTTTTTTTTTTATTTTTTTTATTTTGAGACAGGGTCTTGCTAAGTTGCCGAGAGGCTGGCCTTGACCTCTTGCCTCAGCCTCCTCAGTCGCTGGGATTACAGGCGTACACCACTCCACCTGGCTAAAAACACCTTCATATTTGATTAGGAATCTGGAGAAAGGACGTACAGGGGAGAGAAATGAGCTGTTGGAGAAGGCATTTCCTGTAACAAAGCAGTAATTAGTCACATATGTGGAAAACAATGTTAAGTAGAGGGATCTCTCACAGAGGTCAAGCCCTCTTCATCTGCCTGCAATGCATTAAATTTCAGAAACGAACACAGAGCAAGAGGTGGAAAATCAAAATACAGAAAAGGAAACAGCACAGCATAATAAAAAGCATCCTGTGTTCAGGATCTGCACGGGTCTCTCTGCTTCTCCGTAGGGATGCTGCCTTTGAAAGCCGGGAGCCTGGCTGTCTTACAGCTCTCTGACCCYCTGGTAACTAAATCGCACACTTTGTGCCAGGTCACCTATAGGCATTTGAACTTTCCAGAGTGAATGGAGAGCATGGGAGGGAATTTCAGGGGCCAGGGAAACACTAGCATTTAAGGAACAACTCGCAAGAAAAAAATAGAAAAAAAAAAAAGGAGAACTACCATGTAAGTTAGGGAAGTTCTGTGCCCTCTTCCTGCTTTTCCTCCTCCTTGCCTAAGAATGAGGAGCTGTGTCCAGGGCTGGAACAATTGGATCCCAAGCTGGGAGAGGCCTTATGAGGCCACATGCTTGGTGTGAGGGCCCCGTGATGGCTGGTGTCAGCAAAGGCCAGGAAAATGCAACTTATGGGAGTGGACACATCTCTTTGGAAGGCAGGGCTGTGTCCCTTAGCACTGGTGGTACATGGTGCTACTCSGAGAACCATATCTTTCTCTACTCAGGCACTGAGAAAGGTCTTGGTTTGCCTAGAATAGACCTCCTATTAATGGTGCCCCCTTTATTTTCGAAAATGTCCCTGCTAGAGCCAGGTGAGGTAGCTTATGTCTGTAGTTCCAGTTACTCAGGAAGCTGAGGGGGGATGATCACTTGAGTCCAGGAGTTYGAGACTAGCCTGGGCAAGTGAGATCTCATCCCAAAATTAATAAAAAAAAATAAAAAGTGTCCCTGATGAAGCCTACTGTAAAGTTGTAAAATTACCTTGGTCATGCCACACATGTGCCCTTGAAAAAATTTTTAGCCGGGCGCTGTGACGCACGTCTGTGATCCTAGTGGCTCTAGAGGCTGAGACAGGAGGATCATGAGTTCAGTGCCAGCCTCAGCAAAAGCAAGGTGCTAAGCAACTCAGTGAGACCCTATCTCTAAATAAAATACAAAACAGGGCTGGGGATGTGGCATAGTGTCTGAGTGGTCCTGAGTTCAATCCCTGGTACCCACCCCCGCCTCCAAAATTTTATGTTCTATGATCCTTATACATCTCCACAGAACTGTTTTAAGGAATAGATCATCCCTTGATATTCAGGGAGAAGGACTGGTTCCAGGATCCCCACAGATACCACAATCCACAGATGCTCAAATTCCCTGTGTAAAATGGCATATGTTTGCATATAACCTATGCACATACTCCCCTATATTTTAAGCCATCTCTAGATTACTAATAATATCTAACMCAATGTAAATGCTGTGTAAATAGTTGTTATACTGTGTTGCTTAGGAATAATGATGAGGAAAAATTTAAATTGTCTTCAATATTTTTGTTCTACAACCGGTTCGATCCATGGATGTGAAACCTGTGGATACAGAAGACATGTGAGCTTCCTGGAATAGTCCCCAGATATTTGCCACAATCAATAAATGGAAATTTGACCATTAGGACAGTTCTGTCTCTTTAGGATTCCCTGAACAGAGGTTCTGGAGTTAGAGATTAAATTGGCTCAAAAAGAGGATAGGTGAGTGATCCAGGACAAGACCAAAATTAAGGTGTCTTGTCGGGGGTGTACCTCAGTGATAGAGTGCTTCCTTTGCATGTGTGTGGCCCTGGATTCTAACATCAGCACTGAAAAAAAAAAATTAAGATGTCTGTGCTTTATTGAAAGTYTGATAATGTTAAAGAGCAAGAGGAAAGTACAAAAGTACTTTTCAATGACTAATTTTACACATATTATGAGAAGAAAAAGTAATTACCCATAAATGTGCTTTGAAGTTCACATCAAATGACTTTTCCATAAGCTCATCTGGGCAGTTGAGGAAGTTTTTGCCTGTTACGATTCCAGCGTTATTGATTAGGATGGAAACATCACCAACTTCTTTTTTAACCTGAGTTAAATAACAAGAGCAACCCCATCAAAATAGGAATTCCTTACATGATTTGGGTTTGATTTTCCCACAGTTGTATATCTTTTTCATCCTTAACTCACACTGAATTTTTGCCTTCTAAAAARTTTGTTTTATTTCCTTTGAGATGTCGACTGCACACTGGAGATCCAAAATCTGATGCTTTTCTTCTTCTTTCTCCCTCTGAGATTAAAAAAGATTCCATTGCTGAAATGCTACTTTCCTTTGACACTTAGAGCTGTTCTTCTACTCTGTGATCATACCTTTGTTTTATGCCCTCTGTTAACAGCATATCATTTTAATCCATGTGAGGAGGCATAAGAATAGCCTTATTATGAACAAATGGCATCTAGATCAAGACCTATCACACACAGAGATGGGGGAGGAGTAGGGAATAAGCAAGAGAAAGAAGGATAATGTAGGTTTTCAACACACAGCACAGATTAGAATCTGCCTGCCCTGTTCGTATCAACGGGCTGGTTTTCTTCTCTCCATCTCAAAATTTCAGGTATAAGATCTGTGAGTCATGTGTGTTACTGTAATATGGGTTAAGATAGGCATTCAATCATTTTTATTTAGGAAATCAAAATTCTGGGTGTAACACTGGAGCCTTTACCCTTTAACAAACCTTCAGTGTGTGATCTTGGTTTTATGTGAGGAGTGGACAGAGGCCTTTCTAGGATCGATGAGAGGAGGTGGGACTGGCCCTGTGTTCCCATCTGTGTTCTGAATTTCATCACTGCAATTCAGACCACACAGCAACAGCCCTGACCCATAAAGTCAGAGGGAACCACCCACTCTAGTTGCCATGTGTTCTTACAGGAGGCTCACAGAGGTGCCACTTACATCTCCAGCAATATGTATGTGTACGTGTGCACCTGCCTGCATGGATGACACAAAGTTATCACTGCAGTATGGCAAAGGGGACAAGGTGTCACAGAAGCCAGGCAGAAGCTGCCATCTTTTTCATCTGCTAGTCATCAACCAGGAAGGCCTGGGTTCTTGGCATCAGGATGAGGTGTGTTAATCATTCAGACTACCTGGGTCTGTTGCCAAGGAAAAATTGTGGATGAAATARAAACTAGGGGGAACCTCAATTTTAAGCTAGAGTTTTCAAAAAGCACAAAGAAACTATTAACTACAAGCCTGATTTGGAGAGTGGCGAAAATATTTCATAAAATCCAACTTGGACAGCAGTCAAGGCTAGAAACGAGTGGATCATTCCATCTGAGGCCAAAGCCAAAGCCAGAGAAGGACCAGGGTTAAAAGACAGCACCAATATTAAAGGCTGGTGTCCTAGCTCAGGGTCAGGGATGGAAAAGCCAGAGGTTACACCAAAGGTTATGTGCTATATCTACTGATGATGAATGGTAACAGCAACATGCTCATTCTTGGAATGAGAAAAATCTTGCTGGCACAGTGTTTTTAAATAAGGGCCCAAGAGTCATACCTTAAGGAGAATGCAACGGATTCTAATTCTTAAGTGATTTCCTTCCTTCCTTCTTTATTATTTCCCTTAGTGTAAGAGTGAATCTGTTTAACCCTGTATGACAACTCTCCAAAGACCAGCACATGAACTGTGCCCATCTGTTAGCTGGGCTTTCCCTCTGCATGCCCACCGTATGAAAACACAAAACTGCTGGAAGCCCATTGGGCTGACGYGCATGTCACCATCCAGCTCCAAATTGCCAAGATGGCTGCTCTGGATTCCCCAACCACGGAGATTTCCCAACCACTCCTAACTAGTGTAGTGGGCAGTAGGAAATGTCTGCTTCTCCCAGTGATCACGTATCCCAGGATCTTGAACATTAGGAATCAGAAATGAATTTTAAGAAATTTTGAAGATGCTATGATTTTTTTGAGCTGCGCAATTGAATGACACAGTAGGAGGTATGCCAAGCCACAGTAACCCTGAATCACCTTGTTTAAGGCTCCCTATCCTTAAATACATAGTTAGGACATCCCCACATATCACATCAAGGATAAATGACAGCTACCTAGCTGCAGCCTTACCTTGTGTTTACTGAACAAAATAACCTCTCATCTGAGTTGCCAAAGAGCAGGGCTGGGCCTTCTGAATTCAAGGCTAGGTCATGATCCAGGGACACAATTTTTAAACACTGTCATACTACACTAAAAATTTTCTTTTTGGTCAGTCTCCCAGGGGATACTTCTTAAGAATTTTCTGATATGTTCTTGTTATCCAGAAAAAGAAGTGGAAATGGTTGGCTTATAAAGATGGGGAATATTTTGCTTCCCTGGAATTCAGAAAAGCACATCATTGATTCTCTCCAAGAGCCCAAAGTGATAATAGCTGAATAATGAGCTAGTTCTATGACATGTCGGATCACTTAAGAAGCCAAGAAGCTTGACAGAACTAATTTACAGATCCAGCGACGAGGGAGGTGATTATTGATAGAGCACTTCACAGTAACCTGCCCCATAACTAAAAACCCTCCTTGTTTGAATATGAACCATTTTTTTTCTTTAAGACTGGCCAGAGGAGTTAGTTAGTCCGTGTAAGTCAGTCGGCCAGGCAGCGCTTCATGTGTTAACCACTCAGTCTGGGAGTTTGGCTGCACTTGAAGTGTGGCCCCAGCATAAAACTATGTGAGCTTGTCAGGTTTGGATCTCCACATTGTAATGGGCAGCCTGTGATTGGAGCTGGTGGTAAGAAAGACATAAGATGGAAAGCAAGAACTCATGGCTGTGACCTGCAAAGCTCCCTACTAGGAGGTGAGGGAGGGAGTACCAAGGTATTGGTGGAGCCTGGAAGCAGGTTGCAAAATAGCTGGGCTGCTTGCAGCAGACTGGTTTGGTTCCTCCCTCTCACTAAGTTGAGCAATTCTGAGAGCCAAAATGTGGCCCAGGAGAGAGTGATGTGTGGTGTATGCATGACTGTGCCAACAGAAGGGCAGAGGAATCCTTACAAGGGCAAAGAGATGGGCCTATATGAAACAAGAACTTTCTTACTATTTGGCATATTGGAGTCCTGGCTGTGAATTTGCTATTTATTAGTTGTATTTCTTAGATAAGCTAACATGCCTGCTCAAGCCTCAGTGTTACAGTTAGTGAAAGGAAGATAATAAAGTGTTTTWCTTTATAATATTATGATATGATACAGAGTACTTAGCACAGCAGCTTACATACAATAAAAATTCAAAAATCCTAATTCCCATTCCCCCACAAGATTATTTTTTAAATTAAAGGGACACTGGAGATAGGCAAATGGGCATTGATAAAAGCAAACTAACAACCAACACGATGCAGGCCAAATTATTTACATAGGGTTCTCAGTACCCACAGAAAACAGTGGTCTCCAAAATTTACCTGATTGGCCACTCTGTACACGTCTTCCTTTCGGCTACAATCACAGGTATAGGCATGCACCCTCATGGCTCCAGCTTCCCGAGCCATCTGGAGTGTCTCCTCATTCCCCTGTGAATTGATATCCCAGAGAACAAGCACAGATCCCAGGCGGGCAAACTGCAAGGCTAAGAGCCTCCCAAGTCCACTCCCAGAGCCTGTTATGAGGACTATTTCACCAGCGACGTTCTTCCGTGGCCTTGGGATCAAGCCAAAGATCAGAGCCTCCAGAATACTAAACAGTGATTTTCCTAAGAAAACAAGAAATTTCCCTGCTGCTCTCAGGTTGGAAGACATATTCTGGCTGACACCTGTAGAAAGGGAGAGAAAATTTGTTCACTACATGGAGTTCTAACTTTCTGAAGTAGTGAAAGTAGTCAAGAAGCTYGACTTAAACATCTCTGCAGGCTCTGGACTCAGAAGGGAAGGAACCCACAGGGACCATATCTTGTCCAGCTTTCATACACAGCCCCAAGCTCTGCACATAACTGTTCTCCCACTGTGTGTTTTAYGTACAGAAATGTTTGTGAACTGAGAACTGTAACCAACACACTGAAATTTAACTCAAAGGACACATTCATCATTTCTTCCCACTTTACTTTTCTTCATGATAACCTTGAGTCCTGTTGGATGATTGGACTTCCAACATCTTGGTCCTGTTGATGACATAACTGCTACCTTTCTGGTTTTGTTTTTGTCCCCTTTTAGGTTTGTACTTTCTCATTCGACCTGTGCTTCTTTAATTTTGCCTTGATACTTAAAATCTGAGATTCAATAGGACAATTGAAAATTCTACTTGTATAAAGTATTTGAAGAGAAGAAATAAGATGCCCTAAGCCTTTTCCAACTGATTCATTGTGAGTATCATATATCCATTCATAAACCCCAAGGATCCCATGCTACTAGCTCCCTGTCATTTATAGGATATAGGTCTTGACCCCTGCCCTGTCTTGGCCCTGCCCAGTTGTGAAGGCTGGGGCTTTTCTGGGCCTAGGGTGGTATAAAGTGCTGGTTCTATGGCATAGGATGGTTCTGCAGATGAAGTGAAAATATTCCATGCTTGACCCTAATCTTGGCTCACAGAAAGAACTTCAAAGCTGATATAATATTTCTCAGATTCACAGTGCTGCTCACCAAGAGGTACCCAACAGGATCCCCCCCCCTATGACAAAATTATTTAGAGATCCATGCTTATATCTTGCTATCAATGACTCATACTTTAGTAAGGATAAGTTCATAAGATAATTTGCTAACAAATAGCTGAGAAAGAAGGGAAGGTCTTATTTCCTCCAGGATGAGAACATCTGTTTAGCACTGAGCATACTGAGCTGGAGGCAGAGGACTTCCCTGAATGGGGTGTTCTACTGAGGTTCAGATGAAGACACAGGGGTCAGGAGGTGGAAGGAGTGAGGAGAGAGCAGCAGGTCTTCACTCTACATGCTGACTGAGGATCAATGAGTTTCTGTTAATGACTCTTATTATCCAGTTGCTATGCACAACTGGATTAATCTGCATAAGGGGTCGGTACATGACCATTCTAAAGAAATGCTGGAGATACATGATCTAAACTGTTGTTACTGCTTATTCTACAGGTGAGATTGAGGATCCAATTGAAGATGTATGGGACCTGTCGGAAGTCCCTGTGCTAGTTACTACAGGACCAGGTTGGTTCATTTGTTCTGTTTATTGAGCACCAACCCCAAGGTGGTTCTACTCTAGTCTCTATGGTAGAGAGGGATGGTAGACTTTCATTTTCTCTGCACTGGTGAGCTAACTAGACTAGTTTGAAAAAACAGATCTTAAATGGTTAACTGCATTATTAAAAGTTATGATGTTATAAAGGAAAGTGTAGGGTGCTACAGGGTGGATGACAGGAGAGGTGATTTAGATGGGGGCCTGGTAGAAAGCAAGAGTGAAGGTTTGATGGGAAGTGACCTTTAAGCAGATAACTAAATGATGAATGGCAGGAAGTAGAAAGATTTGGCAGTAGCTTTTCTGACAGGGGACAGAATGGTTTATATTGAGGAGATTTTGCTTTGTACATCCAGGGCTATCCAGGGAATAAGAATCTGGTTTGGGAGACATGACCCTTCAGGTCAAACAGAGTGTTTTCTGCTGTGAGCACTGGGCTTTATTACCCATTATGGGAGATAGCCCTCAAACTCTCTGCCAACTTTGTTCTGATATATTTTTACAGAGGGACTTTCAGATGATTGGCTGGGCCTCCCAGCAATGCAGAACTTGGAAAGAAGATGTCCTGAAGGAAGACTCTTGTTTTAAATACAAAGTAATGGTGCACATACTTGCAGATGTGCAAGAGTGTGGATCAGACTGTGTACAGTCAGGGCTTCCTTCCATCAGTACTCCTTTCACACCAGGTGACTAGGGTTGGGCCACCATGCTTGCTTTCAAGCACACTAATATTTATAGGGGTCCATGCCAGACTGACAGACATGTACTCTGTGATATCTAGCACTGTAGTGATAGAAATCTCATCACTGACCTACGTGACATGAAAAACTCTTAATAAGACTTCACTATTCCACGGTCACAATGTTAGCACGATGCAAGACCTAGGACCAATGCGTGCTTTATCACCACCTTGGCAGAGACCTCCAAGGTTCTTAAGCAGCCAGGGGTCTCCCCCATTGGGGATTTAGGATACCTGCTATGTATCCATATAGGCAGTGAGGTCTACAGACTAAAGTTTGGGTTGGGATTTTGTATCCATCACTGTTTTTTTTTTTTTTCCTGTAATTTCGGTAAAAACTATTTTATGTCTCAGTTTCCTCTTCTAAAAAGAGCAATTCTAAACTGTGGAGAATACTAATCCTCATTTCAACAGGGAATTAGATGCAGGAGTAAACGAGTGAATACAGGTAAAATATTAAGAAGCATTATATGGTCACTGCTAGCCCACATGAAATGTCTGAATTAATTTAGGGGAATAAAGGCACTGACTCGCACTCAGCCCTTGCGGGGCGCACAGATATAATGTAATATAAAGTATATTCCTTCATAATGTAAATATAAATGCATACTTACAAACTAAATATACATTTCCATATTATTGTAAAGACTCTTTCTTAGGAAGGCACAAGTGTATTAAATTGAAATTTAATCATGCTGAATACTTCTTTGATGTGCCCATCCTACTGGTGTACAAATCCAAGAGCTGAGCTAACTAGGCGCAATGTAATTTGGGGCTGTCTGCTATCCAGAGCACAACAATTCTGCCCTGGGAAGGGCACTTGGTCTGGGGCTTGGGGCAGGGAGTGTGGGGTGTACAGACTGCCAACCACAGCTTCTGTTGAAAGGGATGATTTGGGGGGCAGTGGGGAGCTGGAGGTGTATGCACTGAGCAGCAGAGACCAGGGATCTGGGCAGAATGGACCCCGAAACAAGAGAGATCAGAGAGGCCTCCCTTTCTTAGACTGGCAGCTCATTTCATCSTGAGGTAGAGCCTTGTCCCCGGACACGGGAGCCAGGACCTTGGGGATGTTGCAGCCATGAGCTCCTCAGAGGTGCCTTGCTCTCTTACACCGAGTTCCCTTCCTGCGATCCGGCCGCCGCTCTCCCGCCCGCCGCTCTCCCGCCCGCGCCCCCTCGCGCTCACGGAGCATTTAACCCGCAGGGCCCTGGAGTGGCGCGCAACGGCGCCACCTCCTACGAAAGCCAGCTCCGAGGACCCGCGACAACTTACCCAGACACGCTCCCCCTCGCTGCCCGCCGAGAACCCGGCCTCGTCCGCCCCAGGCACCCGTGTCCTTAGCTACCAGCTCAGTGAAGTTCAGGTGTTTTATCCTGGCGCGGGCTCGAGCCTAAGTCCAAGGGCGGGACTGGCCCGCCCGCGGCGGGGGTGGTGCCGCCCGCGGCGGGGGTGGGGTGGTCAGTGAGTCCCCGCGCGCCACGTAGGCCAGCTTTCTTTTCCCAGGCGGGTTGATTTGGGAGGAAAATCGATGGTGGAGACTGGACGCGCGCTTCCGGATTTCTCCTAAGTTTTAATGTTGTGACGATCAGGCTGCACCCTGGATTTTAAAATCAGAATTTCTGGGTTGGAAGGGACCTAGGTATTAGCGTGAAAAAAGTTCCTTCCCCAGGTGTGTTTGCAAACGTACATCCCCTGAAGCTGGGAACTAGACAACAAAGAGGAGGCAACTACTGGGGTCCTTGAGGGGGCGGTCCAGGTCCTGCCCCGACACCTCTCAGCAGGGCACGGATGCAGAGCTCCCCCGCAGTATCTGATTTTGGCTCCTGGGACCCAAAGGCAGAGGCTTGTGGGCGTGTGGCTGGGAGCCGCTGGAAGGTGAGTGGGTGCTGACGCGGGAGCTGTTATTGCTTTGGCAGGTGGCCATGAGGAAGACGGAGAGGGAGACATTTGTTCTAACAAGATGAAATTGAGAAATTAAAAAATAGAATAAGTCACCATTGTATTCTGACCTGTGTATCGAACATCCTCTTGTGTTTGAAAATTCAGAATATACAGCAATGGTATTTATCAAGAAGAAAAAAGAGAGAAATATCCATTAATAAAATTAGAGAGTGATCTAATATAAGCATGACACCACTGCAGTTGGAATGGGTGGCACAGGTAGCAGAGATGGCAAAAAAAATTTTGGGGTATTGAGGAAAAAAACAAGGAGGCAGGATAAGATCAGGTTTGGAATTGATCTTTGGGGCTGCTATGACCCAAATAAGTACTGAAGGCTTAGAGGAGAGCAGGTTTCATTAGCCTCTATCTGGGACAGGTTTAGGGGGCCGAGAAACTGCATATTTGTTCTTTATTTAGGAGAGAAGTAACAGGTAGGTCTTGTAAGCCTGGAAAAATAGGTTCAGGGAAGATCCTTGAGTGTCTTTTCAGTGTTTAGGAAGTTGCTTGATGAGTGGTCAAAAGTGTTCCAGTAGCTGTTCTGTAAAAAGATGAATGGGGATAGGTGTGTGTGCCTTAGTTTCAGGTCAACTGTCTTCACCCAGCTGCAGAGCTTCTCAGGAGTGGGAGACATGTTCATTTACTGCAGAATGAGATGCTAGACATGCATCTCAGGTGGACCCAGGACTCACAAAAGAGGGACACCTAAGCAGTCTGGAAGAGGAGACCTGGGCTGGAAGGGTCTTCCAAATGCAAATACAGTGTTTGCAACACCTGGAAATGAGAAGGATCGGAGGAAGCACAGAGACATTCACTGATGGACCCCACATCATGCAGCCTGTCTGTACAAATGCGAGGCTATTGGAAAACGCCAGCCTTCCATCATCTTCATGGTTTCTCTGAATAGAATCCTAGGCTGTCCCTTATTTCTGATCAGAAGTTGGGGGGTGGACTTCAAGAAAAAATTTTGAGTGTGATCTGCAAATATAGGTGTAGGGCATGGGGAATGCACTATTGATGCAGTTAAAGGAGCCAGATGCCCTACTATATGGAGAAGGCTCCACTTTGACTTAMTGCTGGAAAACTTAGGGGATTGGCCAGCATCTTGAAAGACAAGAAAGGACTTTTATAAGGTTCTTTTTGGCAAAGATTAAAAGTGAGAAATGAATAGTTTATAATGGAAGATGTTTAATAAGTTGGTAGACATGAACCACATTCTCAGTTTCTTGGACCTTAAAGCCCAAGAGATGCATATTAAAAAGTGTATTGCCTCTCAAATTATAACTATTGTGAGAAAGGAGAATGCGTTCTTCATATGGGAGTGATGGAAATCATGCAGTTCTGGAGAATATATGTATCAGGATATAGAAAGGTGTATACCTTCTGATTTCATTCTACTCACAAGACTGTTTTTACCAAAGAATCAGGTGTTGTTTGTTTCCTACAGGAAGAGAAATTGGGTAATGGGAATCAGAGATGGGAAAGAGGCTTCTCACTCCATTAAATCATGGAATGAGTTACCTTTTCAGGAACTAATTATATTAATAACATTTATCATTAATTTCTAAGAAGCATGTACATATGTAGTAATTCCATAACTATTTATAAAATCATGTTTTTCAATCAACAATACTCTTCACAAAATGTAACTTTAAAGATATAGCCCAACAATAAATATATGCTATGACCCAATTTCTTTTAAATGAAAACTTTACTTATAGGCATTAAAAACATTGCAAATGATTCACCAGTCATCTTAACWTGTCTTATTGACAAGCAGTGGAAGTTTAATTGATTTTAATATTTTTCCTTGGAACTTTTTTGCAGCATTCAAGGTATCTATTGTATACATATTTTTGTCATAATAAAAATGTTCCTAAGGACCAGATACAAAGAAATTTCTATTTTTTTAAAGTTTTTATTTGTGCTAAGTTCTCTTTAATTTTTTTTATTAGTTGCTCAGAACATTACAATGATCTTGACATATCATACATTTGATTCAAGTGGGGTATAAATTCTTATTTTTTCCACGTGAGAAGTTTCTATTTTAGATGGCAGACTGGAAACATGTTTTTTTTTATCCTATTTTCTTCTAAAATTCCATTGATTTGCCCAAGAAGATATAAAATTGTGAATAAAAACACAAGAGTGCCAAGAGAAAATTAAAAAAAAATAAAAGAAAGACAAAGGAACTATGAATGAGAGTTGACTAGAGGTTGGTAAGCAGATGGATCCCATTTCCAGAAACCAGAGCAAAAGATATTGAAAGCTAAAACACACCCAGAGAAGGCATTGCAAAAATGAGTCATTCTTCCCAAAAGTAACACAAAGGAACTCCACATCAGTAAACAAAACAAAGAGTGGAAATAGGACATGGCGAACTCAGATGGAATAAACAGTGTTAATAAAATAAATCCCAAACTATAAAAGCATTGAAATAAAATACAGAGCATTGTTTTGTTATTTGGGGAGGAAAGACAAAAATCCAGAAAACATAAGGTATTGATGAGACTACAAAAGACTTATAAATCCTTGTGCAGCAAGAAATTATAATCAAAGTGAAATGATAATAGACTAGTAGAAAATATTTTTGCATAAGGAATTGACTGTAACTATTCGTAATATATGGCATTTCTATGAACCAATTGGAATAATACTAGGAAGAATAGATTTAAAAACACAGACAATTCACAAACACATGTAAGTAACTGAAAATAACTGAAAAGATGCTAAATTTCCCTGATATTCAGGAAAAGGCAAGTTGAAAAGGAATGTCCTTTTTTTTTCCATTCATCAATATCCATATATTAAAAAATCAGACAAGAATCCAGGATTATTCTCGTACTGTCCAATGTAGGAGTCAAAATTGATGTGTCTTTTATAGACAGCCATAAAGGCAGTAGCTATCAAGCCTTTTGASTGTTATTTCATGTCTAGGAAACCATCACAACTTGACACTTAGGCGGAAAGAATTTTCACTGAACTTTGTGAGAGCAAAACACTAGAAACTGCTTAAACACATATCTATTTTATTAGTCATGATGTCATCATAAAATAGAATTCTGTGAAACTGTCAAAAAGAATGAAACTAGGACTGTACTTACTGGCCAGGAAATTTCTCCAGTGTGCAGCAAGGAGAAAAAAGTAGAGAATTATATGATTAAAATTAGACGTATGATTACATTGTTGGAGCAYGTGTTTCTGTTTGTGCATGCTCACATGTATAATACAGGTAGAAAGGCACAGAAGATTTGATCAGGAGGATTACACACCAGAGTGGTCATAGTGGRTACTTCTGGAGGGGAACTGACTCAAGTGAGGAGAGTGACAGGTGGCTTCCCACGTGTGTTATGATTTGTTTCTGTATTGTTTCATTTTTTTTACAAATGTCATGCATTGTTTCATGATACTAAAACCACATAAAAWTTTTTGTAGTTGTAGATGGACAGCATGCCATTATTTTATTTATTTTTGTGGTGCTGAGGATCAAATCCAGTGCCTCACATGTGCTAGGCAAACACTCTGCCTCTGACCCCTAGCCTCAGCCCCCAAATCAAAACTTTTAAATATGCAAATTTTCTGTTTTAAAAAGACTCATTTTAGGAGCATGTTATCTTTGGGGATGAATTTATAAAATAGTGGGGAAAGTCCAGTCATCAGATGCTCTATTCAAAATATATCAGTTTTAGCAAACTGTATTATTTTGGTAGATTATAAAATTCTAGGAGAAGGACATCATTAGTATAAGGGGGGATTCATTTGTCCTATGACAAGAGGAAAAGAGCATTAGCTGGAATAGAATTAGYAAACAGACATGTCCAGCTCATGTGAAGGAGTAGAACAAATACTACATGTGAATAATTAATCCGAAATGGGAAGGAGCCAGAGCATATCTGTCCTGCTACCTTGCTGGGGAAAGTAATCATATACCAGAGACACGCAAACGTTTCAGAAAGCTAAGACTCAAGGAAGACAATGACAAGCTAGGCACGTGATTGAAATTCCCCATGCACTACATTTCTCAGAATGGCTGGGCACAGAGCCCAACATTCATTCCACCTCTCCCCCAAAAGATAAAGGGACATGTTTCTATATGTTTGTTCTTGCTCTTCTACTCATTTCAACATTGTTATCACCAGTTATCAACTTTTTCCCCTGAAAATTTGTAGCACGAAAGACATGGGGATAGATTTATGTAGATTTGACCTAGATTGTTGTGCCAAGTTTAAGTCATGTTGGAAGATAATTCGAATATAGCCAGTGTCTCATGGCCAAGATAAGTTTTCTCCTCTTTTCATTTTACCTTTCTTTTCTGGGATTTATTTTCCTTTTGGATTCTGTCTTTGACCAGTGGAAATACTCATAGTAAAGGGCATTAACTGCTTATATTAACTATAAAAATTCATTGATGGGGGCTGGGGATGTGGCTCAAGTGGTAATGCGCT